TTTTGAAGTTGAGTTTTGCTAAATATGGACGATTCCGATGCAGGTCCGAATGGCCTACAACAATTACCTCTGACATTTCAGGAAGTTTTTCTAATATCTTAATCAATAATCTAATAATATCTGAATAAATGTAATAAAAGTAATAATAAAACAATTAATTTTGTTTACCTTTCTTTCCTGGGCATAAATTTAACTAAATTCTATTCTAATTATACACTTACAATTAGAATTTACCAAAACAACAGATAGATAGTTATAGTTCCATATTGGCTTGGGAGTAAAAGATGAATTTCGAAAATTCCTCATCGCAAAAGAAAATGGAAAATTACCCAACTCTTTCAGACTACCTAACGTTCAAATTTTCAACAAAACTATTATATATATTTATAAAATTTATCTTGAAAATAAAATGTTCTGCACTGCTGCTTCTGTGATCCTCTTTTTTCTAATGTTATAATGAATGGAGTATAGGTAATATCAAACCAAATGGCTCCATGGCTTTATGTAGAAAAAAAAATTGATAGCGCAGTAGTAATTATTAATTATTGGTCTTCTGTACAACAAACATGGAGCCAAACCTGGATCCGACTTCTCTATGGTAGAAACAAACATTATCCTTGTTTTAGCCATGTTTGACTGACTAATTAATACTCACTTAGGTACACTGAATACAAGAAGTATATTTTACCGATCAGCACATCAGGTTACCTATACAAAACTGTCAAATTAAAATGTTGGTAGAATTCTTCAGTCTTGATTTTATTTGCGAATAAAATACATCAAATTAAAAGTAAATTCTAAAAGATATTGACTCTATACCGGTTTTGATCAGAAAAAGATTATTCACCAGCAAAACACGAACAGGCCAATTCGAATACTGAAAAAGTAATAATTCAAAATATTAAAATTATTCGGACAATTATTGTCCGAACAGTAAACGTACCTATAGTAATTTGCATGGACATTACAGTACCTCATAGATTTATGTTTACCAATGTGTACCTACCTAGTTTAGAATTAAAATAGTCGGTGACTTTATGTTCACCGAAGTCAAAATAACAATAACACTTTGATTCGTTATCGTTATCCTCTATAAGTATGTACCTAGAATGGGGACAGCGCACCGGCGGGCGTCAATGAACGGTACTCATTTGGCACACATTCAATTTGTACGTAAATACGTATATAACTTGTATTTCTTTGTTCCCGTCCGGGTTATGTGAAAACGTGTAAAGGATTTGTTAGATTATATGATAGACGAATATGTGCACTAAGAACTTTTGCATCGTCGGATCTACCATTTTTTCGAACCGCAACTTTACAAACAGCGCCTTTTTTCTTCAACTTTTGAAATAAATTGTTAAAAGAAAGTCACAAATATAGGAGCTCGATGGCACTGTGTTTTATCACCATTTATGATCTCGAGCTCCTCCACCGGGACAGCTGCATCTGCAGTCGTTAACAACCAATAACAATAAGCATTTACGCATCTTTTTTCACGTTCCTTAGCAGTGGAGATATAAATAAGCTGTTGATGATAATCAAATGATGGCATTTCTTGTTTTAGTCCATAAAAATGCCATCATGTACGTCAACGTCTCGGGATGACGAATGAGAATTTAAACACTACATTTTAAGGATGACAACGAATAATTGGCTGACGCATTTTGTTTTTCTTTCGCACTTCCGTCTTATTGCTACCGAATTGGCACGTGGCAGCAATGTCAAGAAACTCGATGACAATGATTTTGCTATAAATAAAAAAGCATTAAGGCATTTACTGATAAACGTCAACAATGAGATTCTAATAAGTCTATTAATACATATAAGAAGTAGATGTTTAAGAGAATATTCACTGGCTGAGTAGGTAAATATTGGTGTCTTTAATAAGGGTCAATATTATTTATAAATAAGGTTTAGCACTGGAGTAAATTTATGCTGAGACCGCACTTAGTATTAGTCAAAATTCATATTCAAACAGAGACTTAGCAAAGGTCAACCTAGTACGTGGTAGTATTTACTCATAGAAAGTAGAAGGTTTGCTTATTCTCTGTATAATATGAATTTGAACTAATACTAAAATTGCAATTTTAGCGTAATTTTACTCTGACGCTAAACCTTGGTTATTAAACTTAATAGCACTGTTACAGCCAGTTGCACAAACGTCTATTAAAATTGTCATTAGTTTAAAGCGACATTACCCATAGAAATTTGACATTCATTAACGCTTAAAGGAAACATTAAGCTTTAATGGACGTTTGTGCAACTGACTGTTAGAATATTAAACACTAACACTGGTATCTATAGTCGAGAGAAGTAATCACTTGAGAAAATGGAATAACTTAAGCATATATTTTTAACCAATAGACGAGAATTTGAATGAATAACTAAGCTAATAAATAATTCTTTATTCAAATTCTTGTTTATTTTTTAAATAGCTATATGCTTAGGTGATAGATTTTTCTCGACTATAGATACGGGTGTAAGACGACAATAGATACCACTGTCTGAATCAGATTTTTTTAAAGATAAATGTAATTTCGTAATATTGCACCATTATGGCAATAGATACCTCAGTCCATAACTTATACTCTACCAGGTAACTATTTTATTTAATAACTCGCATCTAAGTTTTATACTTTTACTTAGGCATATTTATCGGGAAATTCTAATAGACGTCACAAAGAAAGATAATTTGCTTAGCGGTGCGCGATACGAGGACGATAGATGACGTAATATCGGTTGTTGTTGTTTCAATGCGCGTGCGTTCTAGAAGTTATGTCTAGAAACCTCATAATTGAACTAAAAAGTAGTGTTTATATCCTACTAGCTTTCGCCAGCGGCTTCACCCACGTGTACTCTAGGGAAATGTTTAGTGGGATAAAAAGTATCCTATTATCTAAGTCAGCTAATACCCTATCTGTATACTAAATTAATTTCATCAAAATCCGTCCAGTAGTTTCGGCGTGATTGACGGACAAACATCCAAACGTCCAAACATCTAAACATCCAAACAAAGAAACTGTCACATTTCTAATATTAATAGGATTTGGTACGGGTGTCCGTAGCAATCATAAAAATACCTACCTATGACATAGGTTTTTATATTTAATCTTAAGTGTAAAGACAGTGATAATCTAAGCATTAGATTAAAACTGAAAACCCAAAGGGTAAAACGGGAACCCTATTACTTAGACTTCGCTGTCCGTCTGTCTGTCACCAGGCCTTATCTCATGAACTGCGTTAGATAGGCAGTTGAAATTATCACAGATGACATAATTCTGTTGCCGTTATCACAACAAATACAAAAAAAATAGAATAAAATAAATATTTTAGCGGCTGCCTAGAAGAAACGTAATTTTTTTTGGAACCATTCGTGCGCAAGTCCATCTCTCACTTGGCCGGTTTTATATTAAAATAGTCTTTTTTTGTTTACAATATCTGTTTAGGCGTCATATCATAGAATTTGTTCCTTGAAAATGTGGATCGAAATGGAAACTCCAGAAAATAGAGTGACTGTTGTTGCTGTACAATGATTCAAATGATAATCAATATAAGTTAATATTTAATTTAAATAAATAGTAATTAGAAGGTATTGGTTCGTACTTTATAGTAAAACGTAGCATGTTTAAGTAGATAATTTACCAACATAATTTTTGCTATAGCTAACGTCTACTTTTTGCAAGCTAAATCCATCATAAAATCAAAATTTATTTATTCAGTTTAGGCTTCTTCTTCTTCTTTTATTAATGGCTTATCTGCGCATTTCGCACAATTCTGCCAATGTCAAGTGAATAAATAAATTTCTACATGTAAAATGAAAATTAAATGCTTCTGTTTAGGCTTTTACAGTGTGAAAGACGAAAACTACGCCATCATATTCTTTTTGATGCGCAACTAATGATGACGCATCATATTTTCTTAGTATGTTGTTGTAGTATTAGAAATGTTCGTCGAATTTAATTTGCTCTTTGACTTCGAATAGGAAAATACTGTGAAATTTCATGAAATGACTGTAAGGACTTTAGTTAGAGTGAGATCAATAAAAAGGCTACTCGGCCCATCTCGGTTGTTGTCGCTTTTATTCGGTTTGCACTCGTGTCAATAACTGTCAGTAATGTAACCAGTTGAATTAAATTTACACAAAAATGGGGTAATAGATACTATTCAAAAAGTTTCCTGGAAGAAATTACTTTTTAGAAATAAGGCCGCCAATTTATTTTGTCCACTGGTATACAATAAAGAATTTATTATTCATTTCTTTCATTCAAAATATATCTTTTTAATCGGCGCGGCTGAATATCCGAATGTAAATACCTACTGAATACATAAAGTCGGTATTTAGATTTTTCATAACATATGTGATCTGGATTTAATAATGACGAGTTTAGGTTGCATTTAATTTTATGTTTTATTTTTATTTCTTATATATTTTTTATTTTACTCTGCATGTTTAAAGATAATAGAAACATTTAAGGAATTAAAGTAGTTGCAAATACTGACATAAATCTATGATATATTTTTATAGTGACATAATTTTTATTGCTTTTGATTTTAGTTTTGATTTATATTATTGCCTGACTTAGATTGACATTTGTAGGTACGAATTTGCATGCTATTTTAATATAGTAGAACATGATAACGTATATAAACTTAATGAAACCAACATTTTAAACCATGTTTTATGCAAATAAACGATTATGACTATATATGTTATATATATATTATATTTATTTAAAAGTTTGTTTCATAGCTAACCTAGAAATTATACACTTATTTACCGAAATCTATGAATGAATTAATTTATTGCGTGTTCTAATATCTTATTTAGAGTATTAAAATAGCCAGAAAATATATCCCACAGACAATAACGATTATTTAATAAAAAATGCAGATTTTGATTAGCGGCATATTTCACTAAAACTGGGGTAGCAATTCGTAAAAAGGTGTTAACCCAGGCTGTCAACTTGTATATATACGGAATGACCGGCTTTGGCGTGGCATATTTCGAAGAAAACGTTGAAGAACGTCAGTCTACAATATAGTGTCTCTGTGATTGTGACGTCGACATAGTGTGACTTTTCAGAGTTGTTTGTTGGTTTATTATTGGCTATTAATAGAATAACAAGTTTTTAGTGCATAATCGGTAAGTTTATTTTAATATTCTAACTTTAATATTGCCTTTAGCTTAAAACTACGCAGCTTATGCATAATAGGAAATCAAGGTTGAACGCCATTTTGTTTTACCTTTTCGGATCGATTTTGCAATTCATATCACGCATTCTAGGAAAGATTATAGACCTATGTAATTTGTGCTCTGTACATTTATGGTACATAATTACTAAACTATGTAAATGTTGTTTGATTTGTATACAACTTGAATGACACATTCACTACTTATCTCGATACGACCCACCTACGTAATTTCTGAGAAATTTTATTGACTATAATAAGACTAGGAATAGAACTTAGTTTTACCATTGATTATCTTTTCATTGTACTATATAAAGGGAGACAGACATCACCTATAGATAGATAGCGTATTTTAACACAGCAGCAATTAATTTTTAATTACAAAAAAAATTTTAATTCTCTACCGTGAAAATATTAAAGTTTAAAATCAAGTGAAGAAACTTGATATTTGTATAGCTTGACTGACTGTTGTTGACAGTACTATTTCTTGACTATATAAAATTCAGGTGGTTTTTAAGTGGACTGGTGCAATTGGGTTAACATTTTGTGGTGCATTTTTAAAAGCTTAAAATTAATAAGTTAAACCCATTGACAAGAAATTGGGGAACATTTTTAGTCATCACCTAATGGGTATAATACCATACTAGCCATTTTGAAGTCAATGTTACCATTATGTTTATTGTCTGACTTAATTCTAAATAATGAACATAGACTGATAACATCATAATGTTATAACATTTTGTTATATTCAATGAATATAAGCAAGCATTAAAAAAGTGACTACATGAAACATTCCTTTCTCACATTTGTACTAATCCTTTTGTAATTACTATGTTAAAAATGAAAACTCACATTTATATTTTTATTTCTTTGTTTATAGGTAAAGATGCAGATTTTTGTGAAGACTTTAACTGGAAAAACTATCACATTAGAAGTGGAGCCATCTGACACAATCGAGAATGTGAAGGCTAAAATCCAAGACAAAGAGGGCATTCCCCCAGACCAGCAGAGACTCATCTTTGCAGGCAAACAATTGGAAGATGGACGTACCTTGTCAGATTACAACATTCAGAAGGAATCTACACTCCACTTGGTCCTTCGTCTCAGAGGAGGCATGCAAATTTTTGTAAAGACGCTGACAGGCAAGACCATCACTTTGGAAGTAGAGCCATCTGACACAATTGAAAATGTGAAGGCTAAAATTCAAGACAAAGAAGGCATTCCTCCAGATCAGCAGAGACTCATCTTTGCAGGCAAACAATTGGAAGATGGACGCACCTTGTCAGATTACAACATTCAGAAGGAGTCTACACTCCACTTGGTCCTTCGTCTCAGAGGAGGCATGCAAATTTTTGTAAAGACCCTTACAGGCAAGACCATCACATTGGAAGTGGAGCCGTCTGACACAATCGAAAATGTGAAAGCTAAAATCCAAGACAAAGAGGGTATTCCCCCAGACCAGCAAAGACTCATCTTTGCAGGCAAACAGTTGGAAGATGGACGCACCTTGTCAGATTACAACATTCAGAAGGAGTCTACACTCCACTTGGTCCTTCGTCTCAGAGGAGGCATGCAAATTTTCGTAAAGACGCTGACAGGCAAGACCATAACATTGGAAGTAGAGCCATCTGACACAATCGAAAACGTGAAGGCTAAAATCCAGGACAAAGAGGGAATACCTCCAGACCAGCAGAGACTCATCTTTGCAGGCAAACAATTGGAAGATGGACGCACCTTGTCAGATTACAACATCCAGAAGGAGTCTACACTCCACTTGGTCCTTCGTCTAAGAGGAGGCATGCAAATTTTCGTAAAGACGCTGACAGGCAAGACCATCACATTGGAAGTAGAGCCATCTGACACAATCGAGAATGTAAAGGCTAAAATCCAGGACAAAGAGGGCATTCCCCCAGACCAGCAGAGACTCATCTTTGCAGGCAAACAATTGGAAGATGGACGCACCTTGTCAGATTACAACATTCAGAAGGAGTCTACACTCCACTTGGTCCTTCGTCTCAGAGGAGGCATGCAAATTTTCGTAAAGACGCTGACAGGCAAGACCATCACATTGGAAGTAGAGCCATCTGACACAATCGAAAACGTGAAGGCTAAAATCCAGGACAAAGAGGGCATTCCCCCAGACCAGCAAAGACTCATCTTTGCAGGCAAACAGTTGGAAGATGGACGCACCTTGTCAGATTACAACATTCAGAAGGAGTCTACACTCCACTTGGTCCTTCGTCTCAGAGGAGGCATGCAAATTTTCGTAAAGACGCTGACAGGCAAGACCATCACATTGGAAGTAGAGCCATCTGACACAATCGAAAACGTGAAGGCTAAAATCCAGGACAAAGAGGGCATTCCCCCAGACCAGCAAAGACTCATCTTTGCAGGCAAACAGTTGGAAGATGGACGCACCTTGTCAGATTACAACATTCAGAAGGAGTCTACACTCCACTTGGTCCTTCGTTTGAGAGGAGGCATGCAAATTTTCGTAAAGACGCTGACAGGCAAGACCATAACATTGGAAGTAGAGCCATCTGACACAATCGAAAACGTGAAGGCTAAAATCCAGGACAAAGAGGGAATACCTCCAGACCAGCAGAGACTCATCTTTGCAGGCAAACAGTTGGAAGATGGACGCACCTTGTCAGATTACAACATCCAGAAGGAGTCTACACTCCACTTGGTCCTTCGTCTAAGAGGAGGCATGCAAATTTTCGTAAAGACGCTGACAGGCAAGACCATCACATTGGAAGTAGAGCCATCTGACACAATCGAGAATGTAAAGGCTAAAATCCAGGACAAAGAGGGCATTCCCCCAGACCAGCAGAGACTCATCTTTGCAGGCAAACAATTGGAAGATGGACGCACCTTGTCAGATTACAACATTCAGAAGGAGTCTACACTTCACTTGGTCCTTCGTTTGAGAGGAGGCATGCAAATTTTCGTAAAGACGCTGACAGGCAAGACCATAACATTGGAAGTAGAGCCATCTGACACAATCGAGAATGTAAAGGCTAAAATCCAGGACAAAGAGGGCATTCCCCCAGACCAGCAGAGACTCATCTTTGCAGGCAAACAATTGGAAGATGGACGCACCTTGTCAGATTACAACATTCAGAAGGAGTCTACACTTCACTTGGTCCTTCGTTTGAGAGGAGGCATGCAAATTTTTGTAAAGACCTTGACAGGCAAGACCATCACATTGGAAGTAGAGCCATCTGATACAATTGAGAATGTGAAGGCTAAAATCCAGGACAAAGAAGGCATTCCCCCAGACCAGCAGAGACTCATTTTTGCAGGCAAACAATTGGAAGATGGACGCACTTTGTCAGATTACAACATTCAGAAGGAGTCTACACTCCACTTGGTCCTTCGTCTCAGAGGAGGCATGCAAATTTTCGTAAAGACGCTGACAGGCAAGACCATCACATTGGAAGTAGAGCCATCTGACACAATCGAAAACGTGAAGGCTAAAATCCAGGACAAAGAGGGCATTCCCCCAGACCAGCAAAGACTCATCTTTGCAGGCAAACAGTTGGAAGATGGACGCACCTTGTCAGATTACAACATACAGAAAGAATCAACTTTACATCTTGTTCTCAGATTGAGAGGTGGCTTATAGGCTTATTACTAAACGCAATGTATGCCATTTGGATTCCTTGTGATTTTGTGAAAACTAAAGTAAAATAAAGAAGCATCAAGTACAAAATGTTTATTATTTAAAGATTAAAGTGTTTGTCAGTCTGGCAGCGCTACCGTTTTGGCTTTTGAAATGAGTAATAATTGTTGATTTATATAAGTCCTTTATTTACGTTACGTAACAAGTAATATCCAAGTTATACATAGTTTTAAAAAGTAGTTTCGGTGATATTGTTCGTCAGTCTGGCAGCGTTTCGGAGATTAATGATAGCCTTTGTCGCGCTGCTGGACTGACGTCATACTGGTAGCGCTACAGCTAGAACTCTGAATTTCGATGAATTTCAAAATACTTTCCATGTGATTGATCATTTAATAAACCCTTATTTATCATTCTGGTACACGACTGTCATGAATGGCTGCAGTAAATACTTTTAGTGCCAGGCTAACGTCATTCTGGCAGCGCCTCGCCATATCTTCTACACAACACCACTTTACAAGCTCATTCTTGCAAAACGTCAAGTCATTTTAACAAAAATTCATATTATGATATTGAAACTTTACTTTACTCCATTCATTATAGCATTAGACAGAAGTTAAATATAAATCTTTTTATGGTATACTTTGTGACAAAATATCAATAATCATGTTACTCTTAAGACTAACGGCTAATTTGCTACATATTCACTTAAATACCAGCTGCTATTCTAAACTGTTATCATTTAAGTTATCTATTTAAACAAATTTATGAGTATTTGATTAACTTGAATGATTTAATAACTATTACAATAACATCTTAAAGAAGCAGGGTTGGATAGTTTTGACACGATTCTCATGTCACTATAATTCTACCAAATTTAAAACGTTACCTAAACCCCGTCAAACGTTTCGGCAGTAGTTTTTTTTAATTTTGTCAGACTGCGGTATTCATAATTGTCAAAATACGTAATCTGGGATTGTCATCCATTGTGAATGCTACTGCCTTTCTTGTTGGTTTGCCCTTTTTCATGCTTAAGTTTTTATTGTTTTATTTTTGTTTTGTTGTTGTTGTTAAGTTTTATTAAATATGGACGATGCCGGTTCCATTACGCTCTAAGCCCCCATACCTACCCTCAACCTTTGACATTTCAAGAAGTTTTACCAATGTCTTCATCAATAGTCTAATGTCTGAATGAATGTTATAAAAGTAATAATAAAAATTTCGTTTTCTTTACCTTTCTTTACTGGGCATAGATATAACTAAATTCTATTCAAATCATAATCAAATCAACAGATAGACAGTTTAGTACCATGTTGGCTTGGGAGTAATAAAATATGAATTTAGAAAATGCTTGCCTCATCGCAACCCTGAGGTATCGTAAAAATTTGAAAATTGCTCAGCTCTTTCAGACTACCTAACGTTCAAAGTTTCAACAAAACTATAATATATATGTTTTTAATTTATCTTGAAAATAAAATGTTCTGCACTGCTGCTTCTATGACCCTCTTTTTTTCTAATGTCATAATGAATGGAGTATAGCGATGGACATTATTCGCGATAGCCAGTTATTCAACAAGTGATTTGCCTGAACCTGGATCACTAGTAATTCAGTGATACAATAACTAACTGTTTTCCACAACGCTATAAAGTAAAGCTAAATTCACTCTGAAATAAATCGCTTAAGGTTGATGTTTGGGCGACTCGCTTTACAATAACCTCGATCACCAAGAAGCAACGATACGTCGACATCTTTAAGAGATCAACGCTTCTTTATAGCCTTGTGGAATTAACTTGTTATCAACATAGACAATTTCGATATCGGTGATCGGCAATCTGTTACGTGATTTAAAAAATGGATAACGACTCATTTGACATCTTGCAAGTATTCACTACTCTAGGGTACCTAGAAGTGGAGTAAATTACGAAAATGTTCTCAACAACCACAAACTATTTTACTGCTCTGACTATTCCAAACGAATATTCAGGTCTCATATATTTATGACAGAATACTATTCTATCGAGATAAAACCTAGAATCTGAATAATTATGGCCCAAAATCAAATACGCAACGCCTGCCAAATTCTATCAGTAATATTAATATGATTTTTCAACCAGGCGTTACAAAGTATCGACTGACGTTTGTACCATATATTTATAGTTTGCCCCTATAAAAGCAGGTGCATGCATTATTTTTCAAATTTACGGACCGCTCTAGATGATTCATCTTTATTTCCAAACCATAGATTGTTTCGCAAATTTGGGGTTTCAAATAACTTTGTGTTCGATATTATAGAAGTAGAGACAACAGAAAAGGTTCTAGGTTATATCTCGGTAACTTAGCTGTTTGTCCCTATTTCGTACCGGAGTGATAAATAAAGAACTAAACAAATAAAGAATAAGTATGGCCGGTCCTACTCTTTGGACCGGTCCATTTTTTTATGTTTATGAGTTGATGTCAATGTGAAACAAATATACAGTGTATAGGAGGGAATATAACGAGGAAGCATAGATTATATGGACAGTGTTATGCAATACTGTGTCAACCCACAAATTGACAAAAATCGAGATATTACTACCATCCGCTTCCTTAGGTAATAAACTACGTTTATCAAAAGAATGCTAAGTTATTCAAACCATTCTAATACTAAAAATTTAACAAAAACTGTTGACACGTTTACAATATCTTCCATAGGATAATGAACAATATTGCGTCATGTTCCTTAACACATAAACGTTTACTTAAAATCGCGGTCTGTGTTAAGAAAAATGAGTCATGAGGCTTGATACATTATTGTATAATTCGATTATTCAGTCTAGGCATGTTGCAAAAACTGATGGAGGGTTAAAATAATAATCTAAAGAATAAATCATCGTTATAGGATCAAAAACTGTTAGAAAAAGAAGTTTGAAGCAGAATTTAAGTAAATACATTAAAGATGAGTTAAGATTTTGCGTATTTTTCTGACTTTTATCAAACCGCTTTCGAGGTCAGATTCAAATTTAAATTATGCAAAAATGTTTTAATTTAGTTATTAAATACATTTTTGAGTGTGTTTGTAAACGTCATTTATAAATGTTAATTGTGGAATATCATAATATATTGATAATATTTCGATTAATAAGATCAATAATATTGACAGTTTCACTTAACATGTTATTGCTATATTACATAATTGATGTTTATTCAAGCGGTCATAGATTATAACTGACTTAATCGATTATTGCAAAATACATCTGTCTGTCATAATTATGACTTAGAATGCTTGAAAAGCGTTCAAATATTTTGACTCATTATAACAAAATCCCATTAATATTTATATCAATGTACGTTTGATGGATTAGTGGATTTTATTTTTTTGTAAAAATGAGTAAAATAAAATGGTAACGTTATTTCATGTATTGCCTTTCTTTAAGTTCAAGAGGTCACAAGCTCGTGGATCTCATAACACAAAAGGTAAATTTACCCAAGAGGACGTTTTTGGCAAAAAGAGAAAATAATTGAAGTTGTTCCAAATCATGATATTTCAAAACAATTCTTAGTGGATATGGATATCTTACTTCCAGTTATCTGTATAACAGATCAGGACTTTCAACAGTCACTTGAGTATTGGACCAGGTGTACTGGATTATTATCGGGCATTGACATTGATGCTCCAGTCATTGAGGTCTGTGACCAGGAAAAATCCCTCATTCCAGAGCCTCATGATATTATCATAAATCCTGCGAATACAAGTAGCCAAACTTACCTTATCATTTCATACACAGAAGAACCAAGTACCTTGGATCATAACGTGGATGAAGGTGATATAAGAACAACTGAGCTATGCTCGAGCAACAATGCTTTTGAACACGTACGAACCGTAGAAAAACAACATTAGTATTGGAGCCTACGACGCTAGAAGAGAATATTGAAAAACTGTCAGATTACCTACAAGGAGTTCAATGCGCTGCTCAAGAAGATCCAAATTATTCAGAGGTAACGAGTAACGAAACGGAAAATGTAGCTAATCGACAGCAAGGGAGACCCTGAAGAAGATGAAAAAGAAAATAAATAGACCGAAACAGAGATATTACAAAAAAAACTAATAACAATGAAAACTATATTAGCGTGTCAGGAAAACTTGTTACCTCTAAACAATTTGAGTATTTTCTAGAAAGTACTTACTACGAATCGCGAGTTGATGTTGCTTTAAAAAATTTAAATCACAAGCTCCGATAAATGATCAAAAGAGTACGAAATTGGCAGGAAGAAATTCTATTTCGGAACAAAAAATTTACCAAATAAGACAATTAATTGAAGGTTTACCCAAGTACATATCGCATTATTGTAGAGTTGATAGGACTGCACGTTATTTAGCTCCAAATCTAAATTTTTCAACCGTTTATGACCTATATAAGGTCAAGCATGAAAATCCTGTGGGTATTTCAAAGTTCAAGCAAATTTTTTTTAAAGAATTTTACCTGAGATTCAGAAAACCTCAGAAAGATACATGCCTTTGTTGTGATCGCTTTAAAGCAAGTATATGCGGGAGACATTGCGGTAATTGAGCAGTTAAAAAATGAACATTAAGCCGACTCCGATTACGCTTATAAATTAAAAGACCAAATGAAAACTGATTTGGCTCGTACTAAAACTGAGGATTCACTGAAGGCTCTAACGTAATAGATTTTGTATTTTTTCTAAGAATGCTATTATTATTACAGCAATAGTAATGTAATTACCAGACGGAAGGACGAAAGGCCAAAAAAAACTGGCAAAACTATTGAATTTACGGTAATGGAGTTGAAGGGTACCAAATATGATATCAAGTCAATAATATATATTGATTCATTTTCAGACTCAGACATTCCATTAAAAAAAGTGAAATATTTAAAAATGGTGTTTGATTTTTCTTGACATCTTGACACTATGATGCGCTTTGCTTAACTTTAGTAAACCATTATTCAATTGGGTGTCAAGGTATATAAAATATTGCAGGTCACGTATAAATGCTTTGTTTCAAATTTAGCAATAATATGTCATGAGACTTAAATCTGTTTTTCATAAATTGTTATC